GATCTTTTTCAGCGTTGTGAGGGAGGTTACGGTGTCCCTGTATCCTGATTGGTATGATTCTGGTAGCCTTGCCAACTTTTCCTGGCGCTATACCCGGACCGGCTTGAACTTCAGTAGGTCTGTCAAGCCCTCTCTTTTTTCATCCACGATGTGTCTTGCGTTTGTCCGGGCATGTGCCGTACTCTTTCTTTGCAGCAGACGTCTACGTCGCAATTAAAACGGAGGCCTTAACCGTGCAATGGCTGAATTTGCAATGGGCTGAGGCGTTTTTTTCCTTCACGACTGCTCAAAGCCGTGAATGATGTTTGAATACGAAGAAACATGCTGGAATGAAAGAATGTCCCTTTTTCTCTGAAAGGCTTTGATGGTGGCTTCATTGAGCGACTTGCTCAAGACTAAAGTACTCTGACCCCATTCTCTGTTATATTTGTACAGATCGAATAGGTGTACAGATACAGGTGTACATATACACCCGCCGCTGAAGGTAGCCCCGACAATGTGCTATGAAGCTATTCCAGAACATATGGAGCTTAACAAATCTTTTGAAGTTAAAAAAAGACCTCTACTGCTGCAGGGTTTTCTGAGTTCTTGTTCATGGCAATTTGGTAATGCAGGTTACGCCACATCCACTCAAACATCATTAAGATAGTGTCAGGCTTTCCTCTCCCACCACCACGAGGGGTGTGTGACTAATAAAAACACATGTGCATATAATGGACGTGTTCTGGACCTTCAGTGGAGAATCTCGTCATGATAAGAAAACATGTTATTAATTCTGATTGTGGCATTATTTGTTTTAAAATACAACTCTTGAAAACCAGCACATCAGATCACCTGACTGATGTGCGCTATGATACTTTGACAGTGACTCTGGCAACAAGCTAGGTCTACTTACGCTTCTCCTTGGTCTTCTCCTCCTCTTCACTAGCACTGGAGTCAGCCTTGTTCTTCCCTGGAATGATGTAACATGTCATTGTCTCATTGGTTTTTATCTAATGTAATCTGTTCTAAAACAAAACTCTTGAAAACCAGCAGGCTGGACCCCATTGAATCTTCATGAAAATGAAAAACTCTTTCAAACATTTCACCAGGTAAACAAGTGTGTAGCTTAACACTGTCCTACTTAGTTTAGTAAGACCCATACTCTCCCAGAGGAACTAGTTAAGGGACATTATACTTTATAGGACTATCAAGGATGCGCAGTCTGGCAATAAGCTAGACCTACTTACCGGTACTCTGCTTCCTGGCCTAACTCTCAACCATAGGATACGCCTGCTGTACCCATCGATACAGACATGGATGGAAAAACCATGCACATGGTCGAAATGTGGCAGACCACATCGAAGTCTGAAAAAAAGGCCTGTGTCACCTGTCGCTTCTTCTGGCCAGCGATGTTGCTCTCCTCGAATTGTTTCGCTATGGTCCGTATCAACGCCAAGCATCTTGGGGGGAGGGCAGCTACCGCGAGATGCGTGGGGTTATTTGTCGTTAGCTTTGGCTCCGGCTGTAAGAATTTGATACGATTAGTGTAGGTTTTCAGGGATTTCAGATCCATTGGTTATGTGTCACGCGTCATAGTTGTGTTCTATACAATGATAAGGGAGGCATAAAACGCATGTTCAAAGTTTAACATAAAGCTGGGCAAACACTGGACATACTCAGCGTGCTGTTGTAAACTTAAGTCACTTGTAAAATGTATATGATGTAGGTGTACCATTTAGACACAAAGACTCTGCAAAAGATCTTGTACCTTTGTCGTGGCTTTTTTACGACCTCCGTTGCAGCCTTGTGCCATTTGAGATCCTTTTCCGGGAAGCGCTTATCTGGCGTGATATCGTGGAAGCCTGGGAAGGACTTCTGCATGGCCGCAACGATGTTCATGAAGCTTCCCTTGGTAACATAAATGATATCATACCCAACTGTTATGTTACAATAACATATAACCTCTGGGGTTATATGTTATATTAACAATAATGTTAACCTCCCTTACTAAGTGACAGGGCTCACTGACCCAATATCAGAAAGTCACTACTTTATTCCATGCGCTCAAGCTGTATGCTAGTATTACTATTAGTACTGAGGTGGCATGCACAATTTAGTTACTACTTCAGTGTCGCAGCGGTGAAAGTTGGAAGTCACCACCGGCTACGACTTTGGCTTTGACTCTTCTCGGCTTGATGTTTGCCAGCCTGTAACAAGAATTCAACAGCTTAGGGAAGGGTAGCAACATTTTAATTTTAAGCACATGTCTAGCACAAAATTTTCATAAAAGTCACATGACATTTCTCATTCTAGTGAATTTGTATTTTATACTGATCTCAAAGTAGGCACAGATATTTGGGGGCACCGCTTCATGTTGTGTATGTATTGGCATAGAGAATACGAAATATACTGTCTCCCTGAAACAATTACTGAATTATTGCTAATAGCATTTCAATCGTTTGGATAAGTGTTTGGTATAAAAGATCTTCTCTATCATGTAGAGTGCTACATTCAGTGTAATTGTGACATTCTACTGAACCAAAAACACCCATTACCTTCTTACATAGCTGCATTATGACAGCTCCAAGCTTCTTTGTGCTTTGGGGGTCATCCCATCGAAATGGCAGGCTTGATCATATAATTTGAACAAAACAAGAGGACAAATCAATTCAAGACAGCATGAAAATTGTTAAATCATACATACACATGAGCTTCCATCCATGTACCATGTCTTGGCGTTAGACAGGTGTTTTAGATGAATGTCCGTGTATCAGATTCGCTGTCCGCCTACCCGCACATCCGCCCTGAAGAAAGACGCTGGGACGTGATCCTCGTCATGTCTTTGGGTTCGGTGGGTCGCAGTTTCTGTCGGTGACGATTGGCTGCTCTAGCCAAATGTTCCGGCTTTCGTAGTGAATGGCACGGCGAATCACCCAGTTCTTCCAACAACACATCGTCCACAATAGCTGCTGCCGACTGAAATAAGTCCTTCTCTGCTACTGCCTTCACCCTGGCCGCGATTTTGGCCGCTCTCGCCGCGCCCACATCGGGCCCATGGTTGTGTTGGTGGGGGCCTGCTTCGAACACACCATTACGCCCCTATACTGTAGCTTTGCATGGTGCACTTCTCTCTGTGAGATTTGGTCCCAACCCTTTCAGAAATGACTTTAAAAAGTTATTTAGGAGGTCCAGGGGAATATTCATTCCTCCCCCTCCCGTTGTAGAACAGATTCCAGGTTAGGATGTGTGCTTTTGTGGGGACAGCTATAGGAATACTGGGTATGCCCATATGCCTTATGATAGAGCAAGGCCACTGTATATAGCCTCATCAGCCTTTCCCCATCACCTTCTTTTACTGCATCCTGCATGTTTTCAAGGAAGAGCTCTTCCTTGTGGTCTGAAAAGAGCTACAATGTCATATGACATACAATGTATTTACACTTGAGCATTATATAGCTCACCAACAAAGTTACTAATGAAGCTCCTCAGAAACTTTCAAGACTGATCTGGCTGGTTAACAACCATACTGTAGTATAAGTTACTATAACTCAAGCCATATCTTTCTCATATTTCATACGGTATTAGATTGCCACTTACTGCTCGGCCAGTTAGAAGGGATGCTCGGAATCCTGGCACGAAAGCTGGCCTCTCCACCCTTATCTTGCCCAATACTTGGTCACCGACCCTGGCATTGTTGTTCGCTAGGTAGCCCTTTGGGATTTTTTGCAGCTCCCGTAGGAGAGCGTCCTTAGTGCATCCATCGGCTGGTACGTAACTCTTGTGCAGCTTTGCATCCATGATGTCAACCAGTTGCTACAAAAGTTTAAGAAAGGGAATGGGTCAAACAAGCAGAAGCATGTTACAGCTAAGTTGACTAGTTGAAGATATGCAAATAAGAAGGCACGTTCAAATCTACCTGATTTCCTCTGATACATTACTGACCTGGAATTTGTTGACACTTGGCCCACTCCAGTTGCTCCTTTAACTGTGCTATGATTCTGTCCCTGTGATCGCATTCAAGGCAGCCAAGATCATCGTATGTGGTTACGTTGTTAGCTAGCAACATAGATCTGCTGAACACTTCTCCCAGCCCAGGACTGGTGGTTCCTGTTGTGTTGAGTGCCGATGTTCCTGCCAGTGTTCCTGTCTGGCTGGTCAGTGGCTGTGTTCCTGTCTGGCTGGTCAGTGGCTGTGTTCCTGCCTGGCTGGTCAGTGGCTGTGTTCCTGTCTGGCTGGTCAGTGGCTGTGTTCCTGTCTGGCTGGTCAGTGGCTGTGTTCCTGTCAGGCTGGTCAGCTTCCCTAGAAATGATCTGATGGCTTGGTCATAGACCTGTTCTTCAGACATCTGTGTACCTCCTCCGACAAAGTGCCTGCACAACAGTGGGATGCAGCCCGAATTCGAAGGTGAAGGATCTAAGTGTACCAAAGACATTACAACAGTGGGATGCAGCCCGAGTTCGAAGGTGCAGGATCTAAGTGTACCAAAGACATTGCAAATAGCTTGCCAACAGGTTAACTTACTGCTCTTTGCAGATGGACAGTGGACCACCTGTGAGTAGATAACGATCATCTGTTTCTACGATCAGGGCTGAATTATTTATTTGCTGAAGTGCAAGACGAAACATCTCATTCCTCGGCCTACCTTCATGTTGGCCGCCTGTATCCAACGTTCGCCCCACGAATCTGCCGCAGAACGCACCAGGGCTGGGCTATCCTGCGCCCTGCATTAAGTCCTCTTGCCCCCACCGAATCTGCTTGGAGATTAGTTTACTCAGTGTGTCTTGCTTTCATCCCTTAGCTTTTAAGTTTCGTAGACTAGTTAGTTAAGTATGCATTACTTGGTTGCTGATGTACTGTTGTTTATCAAATATATTTTGCTTTTATCCTTTTCTTTAAATCTCGTTATGTAAAGCTGTTTGTAGTCGCTGCGTGGGTTAGTCAGGCTTCGCGTCAGTCGACAAACGCCGTGCCTGGTGTAGGGCGTGTTTTTGCTGTGCAGAAAACAGACAAGTGGCATCATGTCGGGAGAGCAGAAACGATCCAAGACTGGCGACACTGCTGGTAACAGATTTTCTGTCAATTTGTCTTTTCCTTTTGTGTGCTGCTGAGAGACCAAGTATTTGACAGATCCACGAATTTCATTGTCAGTTATGTTTGTTTATTTCGGTGTATTTCTAAGAGTCAGAAGAAACCCAAGCAGAGGTAGGAAAATGGGGGTCAGACAAATTGGCTTATACTTTGTATCTGTGATAGGTATGACGAACTATGAACAGCCATATGGTTAGAAAAACAAGTGAGACGGACGTGACGAAGCGGCCCGGCGGATCGCATTCCACCGGGCGTCGTGTCAAGTCAGTCCAGCTTGTACCACTATCAGAATTATCAGGGTAGCCCTTACAATATTTCAGTAATTTTCAGCCACAAATGGATTTTTAGGGTCTCTGCGCAGTAAACTTAAGTCAATTTTCTTCTTCCAGCCTAATTAACGGTTGCCTCGATTTTGCGAGTGGTGCACAACTTCCTGATGTTTTCTCTCCGAAATTGCTGACATGTTTTGATCATACATATTGTTGAGGTACAATCTGACCACATTTATTTCACATATCATGTATCCATATCTCATTCATGATATAATACGTACCTGTCAATTCTGCTGCCTTTAAACACCTCGTGCATCTCACAGACATACTTCTTGAAGACAAATTTGGTATGTACGCATTCAGCAAAGAAAACTCTACAACATCACGTTAAGGCTATGTCTAGTACTACTAGTATAGCTAGAACATAGATTTTTTAATAATATATAAAAACATTGACAAAAATATGTCATTGGAAATATTCATGAAGGCATAGCTGAGCACTGGAATCCTCCAAGATAATGGTCTCAACGAGATATTGTTGTGCAAATTGTCTTCTTTTCAACCATACTTGTTTTTACGTAGAATTATATTATCTGAACATGCACCATTTGATTAAACATCGACTACAAAATTGAGACTTTTGGCATCCGTATAATGTGAGCTCTTTGTTGTTATTGTGAACAATCTGGCTAATCAACTTGTTGACATAGCACCTCACGGTAGGAGAGTAGATTATCTGGGCAGAAGAATGGCCACTGTTGGCTTGGTTTAAAATAAAACAATACACAAATATGGTCACAAGTATGGGAGGTGTATAATTTTTTTTGTATAATAATAATAGTAGTTTATTAACAACACTCCAGGTACATGGCAGCGTATAAAACCGCTGAATTACGTACTCAGGCTTTAAAAAACATTACACAATAAGGTCAGCTATGCAAAGTACATTGACAAACTAGGTACAAACATTAACAAATACTGGCTATACACTGGTTATAAATATAGATCAGAATCAATCATCCGCGGGCTTCTGGGTAGAAGCATGGCAGCCGTAGACAGCTGTCTCCAGAGGCTTCTATATTATATAATAGATCAGAAGTATCTGCAAATAGATTAAAAACTATTTTATAATCAATCAATTGATTATAATCAAGGACGTTCTACAAAGAGGACAGAGCACGAGATTACCCACTGCGCTCCTTTGTTTCGCCCCGCTGCGGCCCATTGTTTACAGGCCCGGCGGCACATCCTCTGATGTACGTAGCGCATGTTCCCGCGGTTTCCCGCCGATAATGAGCTTAGTTATGACGTCACACGCCCCGATCAGCGCCAAGAAGGACCGATGTGTCGGACTTTTCCGGCGATTCCCATATTTGGAAAACTCGGCAGGGTTCCCCCGGCGTCATATTCGGATGCATAACAAGATGGCGCTTGTTTACGTACTTTTTTCTACGATAAACATGGGCGATTTTAGAGTATTTTTGTGAACCGGTCACTGATTTCTAGCGATGGAAATGTGAAAATATAGCTAATTTGTTTTCCTCGGTAAGTGGATATTTTCCCCCAACAGTTGAACATGTGCTTGTTCAAATGGCGAGATCGTAGTAGTTCGTCCTGTTCTCATTTTTCTCGTACCGTCCCTGTTTTTTTGGCAAAATGTACATGCGTATCCTCAACAACTCCAAACAAAAGAGACAAAACTAGACAGCCAATCATCATGTCTCCTAGACCTCTTTGATGTTGGTTGCCAAAAATATGTACGTCAGTCAGTGCCGAATAAAACAGGTGGGGGTAACCGTGGCATTGGAAATTGCTGCCCTGGTTTATTTTCAATTTTTTCACCAGCAAGGGTCGTTTATTACAACTACCCATCAGTAATTGATTCAGGGCTCGAAATTCATTTTTGGGAATAGGTGCACTTGTGCACCCAACCTGAAAACTTAGGTGCACAAAATTTTTTTTTGGGTGCACCATATGAAACAAAACCTAATCGCAAGTCTCACTGCTCCTCTTCTGAGCTTGAATCTAGAGCTAACGAGAGCTAACTTCAAAATCTGAAACATTATTACAACAAAGATTTTATTATTTTTATGATACTTAGAGACCAAGAATATCCGGTATACTATTATACACTTCCAATGTTAAAAATTCGTACAAAAATATTTGGTGCACAACTCCAATTTTGGGTGCACCCAGTATTTCGAGCCCTGTTGATTGGTCCAGGAAATGACGTAACATTACTGAGAGGGGGGGGTCCCAGAACTCCGTAAATAACAGGATGGTTTTAATTACATGATGGATGTCACACATATAATGTGTGTCCCAACTTGGTCAGCCCCCTATACCGACCTCTGCCTGGTTTTGCCAGGTTAATATGACTCTTAAATTATATTATTTTTCAATCATAAAATTGAGGGTTGCACTGTCTCGCAAATACTATAATATTGTCTTATGGTTCAATAAAAACATTCAAATATACTTGGTTTGTCGAACAGAAACCAGTGACACAATCACTAACAACAAGACCAAGTGGTCCCGCTGGTGTAAGAAGTTCTGGTGGACCTTCGGCGGGCTGGTCGTCGCGGTCATGGTCGTCTCACTGTCCTTCGTGGCAGGTCAGTTTTTACTAACACTTACGCGTGATCATGTCCTTCCGCGGCAGCAGGGGTAAGGATTTTCGCGTTTGGAATGTGCCTCCTCCTCATTATTTCTAAACATAAATATGATAATTGTATCCAACATTCTAGACAAATGATAAGTATCTGTATGCGTCTACAAAATAATTCACAGTAGTTTTTGTATGTCAAAATCAGGACCATTCCTGTACTATAAAATCACCCAATAAATTTGGCTCACGTGAACTACCGGACCTCAGTCTACCTCTGACAACCGGGGTGGTAACATGGGTAGGTACCTGGCTAAGACAGTGACCAAGACAAGTTTCTCTTCAAGACATTCTAAAATGAACAGACAACAGATAATGAATTAAAGTGCTCATGACACCAAGCTATGAGTTTAACTGAACCAGTATTCCCTGGCTAACAGTCTCACCTAATCCAGAATGTAAGGACAACACTGGCTGGTCAAGCCCTGCCTGGTAGTGTCAGATCCTTTCTCAGACATTGGCTTGCAGTTACGTATACGGTTTTAACAGAGCTTCAATTTACATGCATACTGTTCTCTTTGACTACCATATGGACACCACAATTAGAAGACATGTTTCTACTAGACACGTTTACTGTCAACGCAAATTTAACTGTGATGAAGACAATTCAAGTTACAAATATAGATATAGAATCTACTATTAGAAACTTTTGATGAGGCTGTTTATAAACTTGAAATTTGAACACAAGGTTGATTTCACAGAGACTGGAAGCTGATAATAGTAATTTCTTGATTATGCCACTTAATTACAATTATCTAGATCATTCTGCCTAGGTTGGAAATATTACTTTGAAAACCAGAAAAATAGTTGAATCTGATCGACCGGTATTATGCTAATCCGTCCATGTCATTGTTTCTAGCGACTAGATAGCCGGGGAAGTTTATGTGTTTGTTTTATGGTGGTCAATTTTATATTCAAGCTGCTGGAAGAGCTACAGTGGGGAGCTTCATTGTGCGTGGACGCTGGACACACACGATTCATTTTCAAAGGTTTCTGCAAATAAAATTTGGATGTTATTTTATTTTTATCAACACATAAAAATGCGGTAGTATGTGTTAATACCATCACAAATCTTAAACCAGTTAAACAAAATTACTTCTTTTATTTTACACTGAAATGTAGGTATTTTGGTCTGTATGTGTATATTTCATTATTTGTGTCTCTTCGTGTATGTGTGTGTGTGTGTGCTCATCTCTTGATATAGCATATCTTGAGAAGGCTTTATGGATTGTGATAATATTTGGTATGTAGGTAAGTCTTAAAGGTCAAGGTTAAATTTGGGCCTCCGACTGGCTGACTTTGGTACTGCACCAGAGTATCTGGTTCTTGTATGGGCATGCTATGGTATTGACTTTGTTGGTGACTGATAGCTTTTTAATGTCAGGACTACTAGTAAGTGTTTTTTTTATCCTCGTATAGAGGTTACCTAGTGGCGCCGAATGACAGCCGCACAGACCCTTGCGACAGTTCCACAAAACTGTGGAGCAAAAAAATTCCATTGTTGTACATAATAGAACTTTGATACATATAATGTATGTTACCTATGGCAAGTTGAAGGTATACTAATTACTCAAATAAGGTACTGATTTGTATAAAAAATTATACTACATGTAATCAACAAATTTCCATGATTAATGAGGCAAAAAGACTTCCATGACCTCCTACTTTCGCCAAATGATATTAACCCTTCGAACTGATGAATTACATATGTTTCTTATTACGTCTGTGAAGGTTAGACATCCAGGTAATAATATACGCCAAAAACAGGTACTCAAGAAACTGGATATGCAACAGAATACTTGAGCAACTGGATATTCCAAACTCATAACTGTTTTTTGGTGCATTTGTCTAATTGATTTTGCAAATAAGAGTCCCATTTGCATCAATTATATGCATTGTTTACCTGAAAAATTTTCTTATTAATCATGAATCTCCTGACTTGCATAATTATTATTTAATTTCGCCAAGCATCAGATGCCTAGAGAATAAAAATGACAATCTGTTTTGAGTTATCCTCTCTCCAAGATTCCTGAACAAAATGTCCTGCAGTTCCAGCACAAGAGCTACCATATATATAACATCCGGAATTCGTGACCCGAGCATACTCAGATCATGAAAAATCAAAACCGCAAGTTCTGCTGCAGTACCATTACAAGCCCCAAGGGGGTCCAAACTCTAATCATTTTATGTCTCTTTAACACCTATCCACCTACATGTACCAACATCCATGACAATCAAAAGCTTCTTGAGTTGTGCTACACCCCACACACATACACACAAACACACACACAAACGCTACAGAAAACCTACTAGTAACCTTCTTGGCAAAGGTAATGCAAAGCCAAAGGTAATTACAAAGGCTCTAAATATTTCATGCAGGTACGAAGTCTCCGAATTCTTATTTCAGGAACTTATTTCAAGGGGCTCATGGGGCTAGCCAGCCCTACTCTACCTGGGCCTCCGGGAGAACATGGGTCCACAGGGCCAGCTATGTCTGGACCGCCAGGACCGCCTGGACAGGTAAAAATCACCCTCCCGAGCAGGGTCAGTGGCGGTCAGGGGTAGGCTTGGGCATCGACACTGACCCTGCTCGGGAGGGTGGTAAAAATACAAAATTGACAAACTAACAAACAGACGGTCCGTACAATACACTAATCTCCAAGCAGATCAAAGGGTGGCAAAGACTGTGTCAAGTTGTCCAGGCCTATTTGATACTGTCTTTTGCCATTGTAGGATGTTCTTGGAGATTACAATGCACGGCTTTATACAGATGATCTACCGTTGGCTATTGGGGATCTTAAGAGGGGTTGCATGAGAAAAACTTGGCCTGAAGCATTTCCGGACTATACCTTGATTAAGATACTCAGTTAATCATTTAACTTTCTTTAGACCGCTTCATTCCGAAATGACTACGGAGTTTATCCACAGCAGTGTTTGGTTAAAGTGATGGTTGGTCCGCGAGGCTTGAGCGGTCCGGTCAGTCCAACCGGACCTCCTGGACAGGGTAATATGCAGTATTAAACGGCGTACCACTGGCAGTTGTAGACCAGTACATCAAAAACCTGGCCTTAATTATTGATAACCATCTCGTAAGCTCAGGATTTTCTTTAGACAGATTTATTCCTGATTTAGATAGGTAACATTTGCAAAGCAAATGCATAATAAATACATAAACTTCACATGGTCTACTGCTCTGTATTTTGTTACTTAAACATATGCATAATATATATGGTGAGCTGCCCCTTCAGCTCTGTCCTGGTACAAAATGTAACCCAGCACCACAGGGTTTCTAGCTACAGAGCTAATTACTATGTTGACAGCCGTCTGTTCCAGGTCATTGACCTTATTTGTTTGGAGAAGGAGAAAAGGAAGAGAGCAAAAACAGTATATTTTCCTTCTGCGAAGGTAAACGTAATTACTGTATACTCAATCACACCAGCTATTCTGGACCTTAACACAATCAAGCAGCAATGACGCATACTACTTTGATCGTGAAAAGTATACAATTTTCCGAGTCCGGAAAAGTCCGAGTTTCTCAAGAGAGGACTAATAATCCAGACAACCTACGTCTTCCATTGCTCATTCTGCTTTCAACTGAACAGCTTTTGCTTATTTTGTTTTACCTGTTCTAACACCGTAAGATTCTTTCCCGATGCCTTAAGACGTTTTTACATTTATACGTGTCGCCTTTGTTACAGTGTAGCTGTCCCGCCCCGACTGCTCCTCCGCAGGTCACAACTCCAGCAGCCCCGACTGCTCCTCCGCAGGTCACAACCCCAGCTGCCCCGACTGCTCCTCCACAGGTCACAACCCCAGCAGCCCCGACTGCTCCTCCGCAAGTCACAACCCCAGCAGCCCCGACTGCTCCTCCGCAGGTCACAACCCCAGCAGCCCCGACTGCTCCTCCTGCAGGTTAGTTGGAGGGTCCGAGTTTCTCACGTGCGGGTCTTACAGTGACACAGTCATAGTATTTTCACCAACGTGCCTAAAAACTCTTACACATCCCAGCAATTCATATACAGATGGCAGTCATATACAAGCGTTACCGGTCACATTACCCTACATTATACATTAAACATTTAGATGCAGTCCAATTCATTCTAGTCCGGTGTTTGCGGCCTTGACTTCCTTTTGTTTCTACGCCTACTAATTTGTGTCCCTGGATTTTCGGAGTTAAATACTAGCAGTTTGGCCTGTCATGAATTACCAATTTGAAAGATGTTTTAGGTTACTAACATGTCACAGTTGTCTGACATATCAATCATTACATCGTGACTAGGTCCCCCTGTTACTTACCGTTTCCCAGAGCCGGACTGTGCTGCATATAAAGCCGCCGGACACATGGCAAGTGGAGTCTACACACTTGGCTCAACCCCGGCCCTGGCCGGTGTACATGTAGAGGTCTACTGCGATATGAAACCAGGTAGATATGGTTTTAAGGCACATAGGTGTCCATAATGTACACATGTGATTGAACTGCCAAAAGCTAAAACTATAACGTATACGTAGGGATGCAAAAGATGTTAGTCAAATCCCTATTTCTGTGAGAAATCATTCACAGTGTGGATCTATTCCAATCAATCTCCTCCGCAAAGCGGACATAGACATAGTTCGAGCTGTTTCCATGTAGAACTCACTCAGCTCCGCATGCCCCTCAGCACTGGGGGCGTAGCGCCTCTGCATATAGGGCTCTCCAGGACTGCCTGCCTCTTGCTGCCTCCAAGGCGGTGGTGAAGTCAAGTCCTGCGGTCTGGAGGTCGGTGGACAGTTGGTCCGTCCAGGTGCGCCTCGGTCTCCCTCTAGGGCGGGACCAGGTGGGGGGAGGCGGTTCTCTTAGGTGAGAATCTAGTTCCAGGGGTGGTTCCGCCCTGGCAATATGTCCGAAGAGGCGGAGACGGGCAGACCGGATTTTACAGGACAGTGGGGGCTGGTTAGTCATTGCTCTCAGGTCGTCGTTGGAGTAAAACACACATGTAAAACACTTTATATTATTGCCTCCGGGGGAGGAGATATCCTTCCGCGGGAGGGCTATGTGAGAGATTAAGATTTTCACGTTCGCAGCAGTTTCTCACGTTTGGGTGGACAGATTCTTTTTGGACTCGGTATATGTTTTGCTATTGGGCTGTAGATGATGCACGTTTTTTTGTTTTTATTGTATGTGTTTTCGGGCGAGAAAATGGTGCCTTTTTGGTGGCCCCAGAACACCCCTTTAAGCGTGAAAATGGTCGCGACTGTTGACCTTTGGTGTGTTTGAAGTATTCTCGGTCGGGTTCACTTGTATGACCTTTCGCACAGAGGGATGTCTGGTCTCGATATTCTTTGTTTAAAAATATGCACAAAAACGCTGTTTTCCAGGGCTGCATAGCCAGATTCAGTTAAGATATGCACAACCTTTGGTGATAATATTTTTTTTTTTGCGGATTTATGGTGTTTTTTGACTTGGATCGAACCCGGAAGTGTCAATTCGGGGGCACGTCTGGTAAAGGTAGCGAGTCACAAGTATG